CAGCAACAAATGTCGAAAATCATTTAAATGACGTTTGATCCAGATAAATCATTTAATTAGTGTTTAGATATTTTAAATTTTTTAAAAATACAAAAAAAAAAAACCAAAGAAGTTGTTAATGAATATGTACAAGAAATTTTCATACTCCATATATATACATATATCTTAATTGATTTTTCTTTTTAACAATTTTCATTGATTAATCGTCAAAATTCTCATTCCTGTTGTGAAATCAAATACAAATAACTCCAACAAAACAATTCAATTCCATTACCAATAGCAACTGTAACTCTACATTAAAATAATTTTTTTTAAAAAAAGATAAATGTAAAACAGCACTCTATGTTTCAAAGGAAATAAAATCAATAAATACAACCGCGCAAAAAAAGTTATAAATAAAAAAAAGGGAATGAATTTCACTCATGTTAAAAACACCCAATAAATAATTATGGTCAGCAAAAACAAAGAATTTCTCTTTTACAAGGTTCAAAAATATAAATCAATTTTTTTCCGAGTGGACAATATAATTACCAATGCATATTCCAAGAATATGTATTCCTAAAATCTTGAAAAAAGAACAAAACATCGTACCTTGTCACATAATGGTTGAGTTTCGGGTGATGGGTGCGAATAAGAAAAAAAAGTTAGAAGAAAATCCTAATTGAAAAAAGATAAAAGAAGAAGAAGAAATTAAGAAGAAAGCAATTTGTTATATGATCATACAAGCAGAGCAGCTCCAAATCTTCGTATGTTACCATTGTTACAATTTTAGCGAAGACCAACTTACAATTTTAGTTAGGGCCCAATTATAATTATTTATATAATTATATATAATAAATAAAATTTATTGAAATGTAGTCGGGGTCCAGCCCCACCTAAACATAATGTGGCTACGCCACTGCCTTCCACATTCCCTTTAAACCAAATTAATAATCAAATTTATAAGAGGAGGGTTTGAAAAGATAAAAAAAAAAAAAAATTAAAAAATAAGGCCAAACTTGGAAGCTTATAAGTCAGATCTTTTAAAAAAGGTATTAACTAAAAAAATAAGGTATATCAGTTTTTTTTTTTCTTTTTGAAAATAGTGTATATATGAGTTCTTATAAGAATAAGAATTTGTTTACCAAAAAAAATAAATAATAAGAATTGCGTACATAGACTTACTCTGCAGGTCCTTTTAATTTGTTGCAGCTTAACAATGTCGCAACCACAACCTGTCATTGCTTGAGAAAACGAGAACTAATACTTATGGTAAATATATAATGACACTGGATTTATATATTTGTGTTTTTATACCTTTGCTTATATATATGGTAAAACCGTAAAACTAAAGAGAGTAGGGGACCAATCCATTTTACGATACGGATCTTTTACCTCATTCCTCTTTCCCGTTCTTTCATTTTTTAGTTAAGCAATGATAATTTAGGAGAAAATTAATAATTAATAGAGAAGTTATTGCTAATAAAGAGGAAAAAACTTAATTTTCATCATATAATTTGAACAATAAAAGTTTTTATAAAAAAAAAAAAATCAATCTCCTATTATATATACAGATCTTCTTGGTAATTTGCACTTCTTTCCATCAGGATATGCATGGTTCTGTATCCTGGTATTTTTTATTATTATTCCAGGATACGACTCCATATCCTAGTGTTAATAGGTTTGCTGCAACTTTTTCTATCTGCAGCAACAGCAGAAACGAGAAACCCTTAATATATGTATATATATATATATATACATATATATGTGTGTATTTAATGTTTTATATATGAATTTAATATTTCTTCAATCATTGAAAATAAAGTTATTTTCTCTTATCTCAAAATTATATCATTTTGAGTCATAGTCATAGAATATATATATATATATATATATATATATATATATATATATATATATATATATATATTTTATATATATGAATTTAAAGTTTTTTCAATCATTGAAAATAAAGTTATTTCCTCTGATCTCAAAATTATATCATTTTGAGTCATAGTCATGATGGAAGATAATTAGGTCACATTATCTCCTCGAGAAATATTAAATCATCAATTACTATTATTAAATTGCTTAGCCAATTCTGTTGATCACACATCACGTCCTTTATTGTTTCTTTTTGTGGATCTAAGGGATTAGAATAGTTATCACTAAGGATGTAAATTTATTGACGGTTTTGTTTCTTTATACTATTGTGTTAAAATTTAAAAGCATGATATATAATAAAAAGTGATATAGGAAGAACGTTACCGTTGTTGTAATCCTATTGATGAACCGATAGACAAAAAAGAAAAAGAAAAAGAAAAAAACTACAACATGATCACATCATCCTTTGGAGTCGTTCACAAATTCACAAGTGTTGATATAATTTTGGTTCTGAAGTGGCAGAAGCTAAAAATATAATTTCCTATAAATACGTCTTTCTTGACACAAACAGGGAAAAAGTATATGCGATGTGAGGATGGCTTAAGCTTCTTCGGTTAGCTTTTTTAAAAATAGTTATATTTAGATGTAAACATTGAGAAATATTTTTTATTTTTTAAAAGTATAAAGAGCTTTTTTATGCTGTATAAAAATGTATTTTTTTTAGAAGCACAGAGGCTAACTAAAGAAATACAAAATGTATTTTTCAGTGCTTACCCTTTTTGTTAAACAAATTATCCAAAGATATATTATAATAAAAGAACATTTTTAGAAAAATATTTTTTTTATCGTACATCTAATTAAGCAATTAACAGCCGCCAGTTTTATTTATTTCCTTTTGTATTCGGGCCAATCCTTTTATTTATGGGTTTTGTAAGAGTTATGTTGTAGGAAAAGTGATTGTGTAATGTTATAGAAATTCATTTTGCGTGTCATAGTTTTTTTTTTGCTTCAAAAAGTGTGGGCCTCACAAAATATTGTGTGTGTAGAAAACTTTTTTGTGTCATGTGAAATGATAAATGCAAACTCCTTTATTTATTCACATTTCTTCTTAGCAATTTTTTGTTAAGAAAATACAGTTATCTTTTTTAGAAAACCTTCATATTTTTTTTTTAAAGAAAATACATGTGTTTAGTCAGCAGCGAAGCCACTTGTATGTCACGCCCCATTTATTTTTAAAAATGATACAGATTTTTTTCAAAGTTTATAGTACAACTTTAATATTGGTTGAGTTTTTAAAAATAATACAACATTGACACTGACTGAATTCCACCCAATAAGTCTTTTGGCAATAACTAAGTTTTATTTCTAGCTTTGCCACTATGTTTAGTCCACCCATTTAACGCTTAAAAAATATAGTGACAAGATACAAAAATTTCATTTAACAATATTTTTGTTAACATTTGGTTTAATATTCTTTCTAGTAAAATGAGGGTATAGACTTTTAAATTGAAATTTCAAACATCTGTTTAATATCTAAATTTTTTATTTAATATATTAAAACAAATTATTGAATGTACTAATTTAATTTGTTGCTTGATAAAGAATAATATAAATCATAAAAAAATTATCAACCAACGTCATAAGATTTTGGGTTGAAGTAGTTCTTATCAGAGCTTGAGTGGCTATAAGATTATAAGTTCGATCTTCACCGCTCTCTATTTGTAGAATTAAATAAGTACAAGATAAATTAACAATAAAAAAAATTAGGTCTATACAATATCTACGCGTCAAGTCTAAAATCTTCTATATTAAATATACAGCTTGTGTATATCTTTTTTTTCTATTCACCTTATGTGAAAAGAGAGTTTTTGGTGGAACGGGAGTACAGTGGTCTAAATAGAAAAAATTCTATTTATAAAAAAGAATCACTGAATAAATGATGGGTGATAACATAATAAATTTTTTCCATGTGAACATTGCGAGTATTCACGTATGAAACGTGGACTATCTCATTTATGAAACGAGTATTCGTATATGAATATGTCAAAGAAAAAATAGGAGACGAGACTTGTGATGTGTACATATAATTTGAGGTATTGTTTTACTTTTACTTATAGTCTTACCATCCTCGGAGTTTTTTTGTCAGTGAGTGGACTATCTCATGCTTCAAACTCAAGCGAAGTCGGTAGATGAGGTGGCGCTTTCTGATTGAGACGTGGCACGTGTGGCCCGTGACTCATCCTCATCAACATGCGTCCATGGTGACCATAAATCCGTAACTAATAAAACATAATAATATTAAAAAAAAATTGTATCAATCTCATGTTAAAGGAGATAAATTATCTCATGTCATAGAAATAAACTTGTGGATTCCACCACCTGACAAAAAAGAAAAAAAAAAGAAGGTGGCACAGTCATCGAAGATTGCGTAGGAGAAAAAATTTATCTCATGTAACATGAGAATGATTTTTTTCCTAAAAATAATAAGAATTATATTTACAAACTTTTTCTTTATAAACTCTTATAAATTGTACTATGTACTTCAAAGATTACAAATACTTAAATATGTATTATTTTCCAGATTATATAATATAATTTATAAGAATTTATAAACAAAAAATTTATAAACATAACACACCCCTAAAAAATAATATTGGATATTTTAAATGAGTTTAGTATTTGTCTTTTTAAAAGACATAAAATTATGTTATTTTAAGTGAGAGAAATACACAAGTAATAAAAATCATATAAGAGAAAGTGAGTGATTTTTTTTAAAATTTAAATAAAAAATACTAGGTTGTGTCTTTCTCTCACATGATACAACTATACATCTTTTAAAAGGGCACATATTTTTCTTATTTTAAATAGCCTTAATTAATAATTAATAAATAAAAATAAGAGATAAATTGGGATAATGTGCTTTTGGGACTCCAGTGACTTTTGGAGTTTAGAGGGGATGACTTGTATATATAAATAAGTAGGTGGTGGTGCACTATCCATCCTCGTTATGTGCATATTCTCAAAATCTCCCCAACTCCCTTAGACTCTCTCTTAACCTTTGCCTCACTTCTTTCTCTTTTTTCTCTTTAAATTTCAATTTGAACCCTCTCTATAGGATTGTGGCATTTCTGTTTTAATTTAAAAAAAAATGGGAAGGCAACCATGCTGTGACAAAGTTGGGTTGAAGAAGGGGCCATGGACTGCAGAGGAAGATAAGAAGCTCATTAGCTTCATCCTCACTAATGGCCAATGTTGCTGGAGAGCTGTCCCTAAGCTATCAGGTCTGTTAGACCATTTCTTAAACATTCATGGCCACATAGAGATATAGTACTTAATATATATATGTAGCCATTCAAATCCTTAATGAATGAAGCTAAAAATGCTGGAGTTTCATGCTTCCTTTCCCATTTGGCTATTTAATTTTTTTAAATGGTTCATAAATATTTTGCATTTTGGTCAATGGGTTTTTGTCTTTCCTCTTATTTGTTTCCCATTCCTTGGCTTCATAGATTTTCATGTTCATTTATACTCTTGAATTCAAATGGGAAACAGAAGCAACCACTTTCACAAAATTTAAATTTAACAATTGGGGGTGTGACTGATTCCATGCAGGGCTGTTAAGGTGTGGGAAGAGCTGCAGGCTCAGGTGGACAAACTACCTGAGGCCAGACTTAAAGAGAGGCCTTTTATCAGAATATGAAGAGAAAATGGTCATTGATCTCCATGCTCAACTTGGCAACAGGTTAATTCCCCTGTTCTGCATGCTTATTCTTCCTTGATGATCCTTAGTAATGATTAAAAATAATAATAATAATAATTACTACAGTGCTCTTTTGAAACATTAGACTAGTGTTATCTCAAGAAATGATGTAAACCAAAGAAAAAGTTATCTTAATGGCACCAAAGCCACTAACTTAATTGAATTTGTTATTCAAATAATACATGCACTTCAACTTGTCATTTGTTTATTCATCGGAGTGAGAAGACGTGGTCCCATGGTTCATACCTGCTAAGAGGAGTAGGCGTATAAAAAATGTAGTCTCATTTCTTTTCTTCTTTATTCATTTTTTTAAGGAAAAAAAGAAAGAAAGAAAAGGAACTGCTTATGATTGCAGTTAAAGTTGACTGCAAATGCGCGTCTTTAACATGGAAAAGTAAATAGAGGCCAAATTTGTCGTGTGCAATTTTTCTTATTTCGTAACTTGCATGACATTGAAAGATGGAGCTTTTATGGGCGTTTGAAGAAATCAGCTAAACTGAATTTTTCTAAATTTTAAATTTATAAATATTATCATAAACTGAATATAAAAATTATATTTTTGAAAATTGAGATTTCTGACAAAAAAAAAAAATTTCCTGTACCAAACGCCTTAAGTCATTCTTCCTTTTCTTTCCGGTGCCACCTTTATAATATATTTAAAGTCTTAATTTTAGACCCACTCCAGACAGGTTTATCAAAAAAAAAATATATTATTCTTCCTTTCTAAGTGATCCTAGTAGGCTGGGTGGACCTTGTCTTATAATGGAATCTTAACTTTCATGTTTTTTTTTTTTTTTTTTAATCACTATTATTTTATTTATTATTGATGTCTTTTTTTTTTTTTTTTTAACTTATTCTGCAGATGGTCTAAGATTGCTTCTCATCTCCCTGGAAGAACTGATAATGAGATAAAGAACCATTGGAATACCCACATAAAGAAAAAGCTCAAGAAAATGGGCATTGATCCTGTCACGCACAAGGCACTCTCTAATGCAACTGAGCAAACCCAAAATCAACCTCAACAACAACTACACCAACCACTAGAAGAACAGCAGAACCAACAACCTTTGCCAGTTGATTTTGACCACAAATTTGAACATGAAAAAAGTCAAAATAAGAAGCCAGAGACTTCATTTGAGTCATCAACCATCACTGAAGCCAAAGAGGATGACAAAATTATAGCACCCGAATTTGAAACAATGGAGCTAATGAATGGGTTCTGCACAGATGAAGTTCCAATAATAGAAGCCGATGAGATTCTAATGCCCTGTGTTCCATCCTCTTCTTCAACCTCTACATCTTCTTCAAATTCAACCAATTTCCTTGAAGACCTGCACCTCCCAGATTTTGAGTGGTCTTGTAATTACAATGATAATAGTATTAACAATAACAACGAAGACAACATGGCCTTGTGGGATGATGAATTTATTAGCTGTTTAAATTTGCTGATTAATGATGATGATGATGATGATGATAAAAAACAAGTATTTGATGCTCCTCTCACTCAGTACCCAAGAATGGTCGTGGATTCAGAATCTTGGGCATGTGGGTTATTTTGATTTGAATTTTTTCTCATCTCTCCTTCTGATTTACTTGTAATTTCCTTCTACGTTCTTATGAAGAATAAACAGTGAATCAATAATTAGGAAGAACAGAACCCAAGTTGTTTAGCTTATCAAGTTTTTCCCCCAGCTTTTCACCTTATATCGTGTAAAAAATTATGTATATGATAATGGAAACATGTTGTTTTATTCTGTTGAAGTCATTGCTTATTTTATTTTATTTATCTTTTGTTGGTGTGTTAAGGTCCTATTTCTTGCTTGGTTACACTGCAAGTTTCAAATTCCTTATCTTCACCTAACTAAAATTCGATCATATTCTATTTCATTTCTTTCTTAATTCATATTTCTTACTTTATATTTTTAATTTCATATTCTATCTGATTGTACAGTTGAATCCATGTAGGTTAACCCTCTTCTATTCTGATTTGTAGCTGTGTTTGCCGAAGTTAAATTATTTCTCACAGATGTAGCTCTGTTTGAATATTGTTTCTAAAAGTAATTTTTGTATTTTCAGAAATAAAAATTATTTTATATTTTTAGAATTAATTTTAGAGAATATATCTGAGTTATTTTTATTTTGTGTTTTGACTTTTAATTTTTAAAACAAAAAAAAAGCACAAAAAATATCTATTTCAATAACTATTCTATAAAACAATTTTAAGAATAAAAAAAAATCAGAACAAAATTAAACAGACTCATAGTTTCGCATTATAGATTTGTCAATAATTACCTTCTTGTTCTTTTATTTTTGTCTTATATAAGTAATGACCTACCAACTAATAATACTTACTTAAGCAAAGAAAAAAGAAATGCAATTGGAATACTAACAATGATAATGATGCCCCTTTACAAATTTGAAATAGTTACAATCTTAGAAAAGAAAATTATATGATTAGTCATTATAAGTTACTCATCCGAGAACAAAAAGGTGATTGTGAGGCAAGCATATGGAATTTTGCACAAGATGCCTTTGAATATATATTGACCGACAGATAACAAATAGCGAATCTTAGTTTAAAATGATAATGAGAAGCTTATTTACTCATATTTAATACGTGGATTGAAATCTTTTTTTCAAGAAAATCAAATTCTGGGGATTTAAAATGATGAAGCAGAATTCCATTTCAAAATACCACCGGATAGGTTGTATTTTTGAAATACCATCCCATGGAAAAATGTCTTAGATTTTTTAGACAAAAATACCCTTTTTTATTGTCCTGTTTTCATCTCTCTCCTCTTTGCTTCTAATTTAGGAGACTCGGATGCCAAGTCATTTGCAAGGCCATCAACGACCATAGCAAACCATGACCACTTCTGCCACTGCAATCGCATTGCTCGCGCTCGTCAGAGGAATGGCGCTAATCTCAGGGATTTTGTGATATTCAAGGACCAATTGGATGTATCTCTCAGCTACAAAAAATCGGAGATCTGTTTTTATCCATTTCATATCAAGTTGTGTGTGTTGTTGACTGGGGGTGAGCGAGAGAGAGAGAGTTGAGAGTGATAAGGTTGTTTTTATAAAATCACTTCACGTGTTCTAGTAATATTTAACAATCAATTAAATGTATAATCAGTAATCTTGAGTCAACGGTAATATTTTAACTTATTAAACAGCTTTTTGGTCACATTGTCATATAACTCAATTTTCTAACATATTCATGACAATTATGATTCCCAAACATAAAATATTTCTCTTTAACAAATGCCCCCTAAATAAATCGAGTGACCTATCTTACTCCATTTTCTTTGTTATTTTTACACCATTTGTGTAGCTGATTTCAAATCCGATATTATATTGCATAAAAAGAAAGAAGGTGGGGGCAGGGCATGACTATTTCCGCCGAGAATAAGATACATTCTTAACCAATAAACAAAGGGTTTCACGAGTTTCCTTTTTAAAAGACATAAGTTATGTTTTTTTAACATTTATAACTACTTAAATTTGAGAATAGATAGTTATAATATTAAAGTTACTTTCTCTCTCTTCAGAAGCTATTTGCTGACATAGAAAATATAAAGAATCAATTCAATCCAAAAACTTAAAGTGTTAAGTGAGGACATTTCAAATAGTTTATATTATTCTTTAACACACTTCCTCAAAGCCCTTTGGGTTTGACGCGCGGATATTGCATAGCTATATTTTTTTTCTTTTGGTTTATCTTACTCTTATTTAATTCCACAAGTGAGAGGTGGTGATGATCGAATTCGTGACCTTATGTCACTAAAGCTCTAATATCATGTAAAAATAAGGGATTCGTCGAATTTGTCAAGTAATCTAGTAGGGGACGATTTGATTCTCCATTATGAAGAAAGAAAATGGAGAAAGATTGAAAATTTTGTTAGAATAAGTAATGAAGAAAATGCAGCGGAGATGGTGGTTCTCTGGTCATCTAAAGAATCAATTCAACCTAAAATTTTAAGATGTTGGGTGAAGATCTTTTTAATAGTTTATATTATTTTCTAATAAAAGCGAAAAAATACAACTTTAATTTTATAAATATGCATTCACAAAAATGCATAATTAAAAACTGTTAAAAAGATAAATTTGTGTCCTTTAACACTCCTTTTTCCCTTAAACATACCCCATATATAGTTCTTCAGCTCATCAGAAAAATCACATAGTAGTTATGCCATAACGGATGGAGCAAAATGATTTTTAGTATCACATAAGAGTCAATCATAATTTACCGTTGTAGTACAATCAAGAATTTTCACTTATAGCTAGGATTGGTGGAAAACAATTTAGACTGTGATGTCAAATTATTAAAAAATATAGCAGTGATGCACAGGACTACGCTTAAGAAATAACTATTTATCTCAAAAAAAATTCAAATAGGTTATAAAAAATTATTATTTCTTTAAAATAAATTAACCAAACACGCATTAAGTAGGCCATTGAAATTCACACAAAATGATATTCTTTAAATTAAATGTTATTTTCACATTATTTTATAAAAAGATCCAGTTCAATAAAACTTGGTCAATAGAATCCGGATAAGGAAACGACAACTGCAAGGATCCATATAATTATAAGCAGCGGCGGATCGGGAGTGCTAGGGTGGGCCCTCCTCAAAATTTGAAGAAATTTTTTAACATAAGTATAATGTAAGAAATTTCATTTTTTCTTTTTATTAATGTGAAATAGTTTTCTCCCTCCAAGAGAGTTTATAGAGCTTCTTTATATTCTCAGGTCTATATCTATTGAAACCCTTCTAACTCTGATTGTATTTTTTCTCCCTTCAAGAAAGTTAACGAAATGAACAAAACAAAAAAAGAATGAGAAAGAGTGCAGTACCATGATTAGATCTTGTTTGAAAAGTAAGCTCAGGGTTTAGTTTGGAGGTTTTAGAGAGAGTTAAGAGATAGAGAAAAGAAAGTCACGATTATCAAATCCAGGATTTAATGCTTTTTTTTGTCTTTTTTTGCTTTAACAAAAAATAGGTTTATTTAAGATTACATCACAGTGTTGGGAGTATCAGTGACCACCAATAGAGCTACATAGTTTCTCTTAGTTCAAATTCTTTTAGCTATGTGACACTTGTTTGTTGGCATAAACCTGCTAAGTAACAATTAGCATATTGAATTAGCATTAAATTATAGGGAATGATCTGTTTACAAATTTTTTTTACAAATTACACTAATTATGACCAGTTATACACTCTTGATTAAAGTATGACGGTCAGACACAGTATAGTTCATAAGAGTTTCTAAACAAAAAGTTTGTAAATATAACATTCTCCTTAAATTATAGTTTAAACCTCGACTTGAAACTTATAGTTTCAACTTTTATTATGCTTAGATGTTAGCACAAATCTTCCAATCCATGAATAAAAATAAGAAGTCTGAGAGTTTTATGAAAGAATGAACCTTATTCTTTCGACCCCTCTCCTTTTCTGATGATTAATGACAGAGACGGAAGTGAGGGACAAAAGGGTTTTGGTGATTGTGCTTCTTGGCAATTTGTCTCTTCTGATTTATCTTTGGCTTTTTTTTCTTGTTGGGCTAACAGTGAGTAAATAGAAAAAGAGGTTAAGAAATGATAGGGTTCTGCTTTGAATTATCTATTTAGATTATAGTAATTAGTATATATTGTTTGTGAAATCTAAACCTTTGCTCTCTTCTATTTTTTTTGTTGTCTTTGTATAAAAAATGTTCATTTTAGGGGTTGAAAAGATGTAGTTTTTTTTTTAAACTGATAGTAAATTTTAATGTGACATTTTTCACCTCTCTTTCTGTCTCGTTCTTTCTCTCTATAACAAGTTAAAAGATGTATTTATTAGTTATGTTCTCTGGGTTGGTGTTCGGCTTCCCACATATTGTGGTTGAAGAGAAGAACAAATACTTAATTTTTCGCATTTTGACCTCTCATATATTATGTTTGAAAGAGAAACAAATGCTTATTTTTTAGCTCTCCACATAAAAAATTCCTGGGTCCACCGTTGATTATAAGAAAGTACCAATGACAGCTGCTTATGACTAACTACGCATCAGCCACAAAAATGTTTGGTAGTTTTATAAAACGAGAACTCTTGGTTTGATTTCCTCCCCTCATTTGTAATTAAATGTTGCTTAACAATGTTTTGGCCGTCTCATTCTTGACTTTTGCAACCGACATGCACGTTAAAATATCTAGTTCGTTCATAACTTACAAGTCCTTTTATCAAGTGCCTCATCAATGTGGTTATGAACATGAACATCTCATGGGAAGTTTGATTGATATTTCAAGATGCCTTTATGATCGATGATTGTCATTATTCACAGTAACTTTTTGATTGAGTCCTTCATTTTTTTTTCCATGGCCTTACCATTTTTAAAGATGTTATCAATTAAGAGATATTTGCAAGGATGATAAAAATTAAAATAAATATAATTATATAATTTTATTTTGTATTTTAAATATGTTTTTATCTTATCTTATTGACAAATTGTACAATAAACACTATAACTTTTATTTGAATCATCTTCACTCTTCAGAGATATGGCACCTCTAGACTTTCGAGACTTGGTTACAAAGGTAAGAGACTAAATCGTTAATTATTTTGAAAAATACCTCCTTAAATATGAAGATGTATATACGGTTGTCTAAGTTACATCATGACAGCCCGTATATCATTTTTGCAAGCTAAGTAATA